GCTCCGCGGTGGTGGTGCCTGGAAAATCTCACGCCAATAGTGGACATCGCCGCCCGACCAGAGCGAGACGCGCCGGAGATACGTTGCATTGGGACCTTCATCACGGCTCGTCTCTTCCTGCGCTGCAAATAGCTTGCATCAAGTGTCGCAGTGAAGACAGCAGATCTCCACACGTTCGCCTCGAGTCCCGCGCCAGACACCTCTGTGTTCGAAATTTGATCGGCTTATTATCATTTAATCATGATCAATTTATCCCAGCGCAGGCAAGGCACGCTGCAAAATGACCAACGCCACCCAAGGCGAATGCCATTGTTGCGTCTACGAGTCTTCGAGATGACGATGCACAAACGGCTCTTCCGCTAGCTATCAAGAGCGTCGAGGCAGGTGTCACAACGCTCTTTGTTAACGCTCTCCCAAATCAGATTGGTCAAGCGCTGTGATTTGCGGGTCACCCAAAGCATTCGCAAGGACCACCCTCGAGTGCCGCAAGTGGCATTCATTCTACCTTTTTAAATGGAGCCAAAGGCTGCCGCTCGCAGCTTCTACACCGTCGGTGCATTGTTACTCGTGTTCAATTATGTCCATTCCCACAACCAATCTTAGACTTTGTTTCTCAGGAATCATACTAGCCTTGTCCAAGGCCACAACAATGCGTAAACAGACTGTTGCATTCAACATCACGACATCATATTTGCTTTGGTTTTTACTAGTACACGTGAACGAGGATCAGCTTAGGCGCCGCACCACTTGGTGCCGTACTGCGGCGCGAGGTACTCGCAGTAGTTCTTGTCGTAGTCGGGCGTCAAACACTGCGTCGCCGCCGGGTAGTAGCAGCCAGAGCAGCCGTTGCACGCGTTTTGTGGCTTGGAGGTCGGCTTGGACGTCGGCTTGGAGGTCGGCTGCGACGGCGACTCGGACGGCTTGCCGAGGAGCGACGGGTACGACACGCCGTTGGCGACGTTGCACATACCGCGGCCACCGACGCCGCGCTGCAAGTAGATGTAGCCGCCTTCGCCCCAGCCCGTACCCCACGAGTTCTTGATCTTAAAGTGGTTCACACCGTTCTTGGAGCCATAGCCAACCGCGAGGACGGCGTGGTCCGACTGTGCACCGGGGCAGCTCTGGACAACGCCGCTCTTGTAGTTGCGCCACACGTTGTTGCCGGCCTCGACCGTGACCGAGACCACCTGCTTGTCGAGCGCCGACTGCAGCGAGCTCTCGCCTTGGACGTTGACCGACTTGCCGACGTTGACCTTGGTCTTTTGGCAGTTCTTGCACTGACCGTTCTGGTTGGAGCTGCCGGACGCGTACGGGAACCCCGACTCGGTGCAAAGGCCGTTCTGGGCAATGTAGTCGAGCGCCTTGTCGGGCCAGCCGCCCTGGCAGCCGTTGCCGGCGTTCGACGCACAGCTCACGAGCTGCTGCTCGGAAAAGTCGACGAGCTGACCGGTCATGAGGCAGTGGCCAAACTCGACCGCGCCGACCGACGAAAACGTCCAGCATGAACCGCACGTGCCTTGGTTGCGCACCGGCGACATGCACTTGTTGGTGGTCCAGTCGACGCCGGCGGCCTCCTGCTGCGCTTCCGAGAGCGTCATCTGCACGTCGTCGGCGCGGAGCTGGCGCTTGGGCTTGGACGCGCTGAACGAGCCTTTCACAAAGGCCGCAAACTCGTCGTCGGTCATGAGCGCAAACTGGTTGTCGGTCGAAAACTTGGCGTGCGGGTGCTTCTTGTTGAGCTCCGCGACGACCTGCTTGGTGTGGGCAAAGCGCTCGATTTCTTCGCTGCCGTCGTCGAGTTCGCCCGACTCCAAGTTGGACGGCTCCGGCAAGAAACCGTTCTTGGCCGCGAGCTGGCCGGCGCGGCTCTTCTTCCACGCCTCAATCTCGGCCTTGAGGTCTTTCTTCTCTTGCGCCGAGAGCTGCAGGCCGTGCGTCGCCGCGAGGCCAAGCACGAGCAGCGACGAGACAGCAACGATGGACGACTTCATCTTTCAAGTGGTAGTTGTGGTGTGGGGCAAAGCGCCAATGTGAAAATGAGCTCCAGAATGCAGCACGCGCATGAAATCCAAAGCCGCGCGCGCGCGGCGGTGTGAGTAAGTACATTCGATCGCGACACGTCGGTCGGGATCAGACGGCAGATCCAGATTCAGAAGCAACAGGTGGCGTTACCGCACCAAGTGCAATGTGCCGTTTGGATTGACGGCAAAGTCGTGCCAGCTGGTTTTGCGTGGACCGCCGACTGGTTTTGGAGACGTCACGCGGAGCTCTCGTGCAAGATCCAGGCCGGGGATCCAGGCATTTTGGGATCCAGGCGCGTTCCACTACAATACGGTACAGGTCGTCGGCGATGCTGACTTTACCCGGTACGAGGTTTTATAGCCCCATAACCGGCGTACTAGTATTTACATTTTGATGCATTGTCACCCAGACCAACTACACTACACTGAGACTGTGCGTAGCGATGACCATCCTCTTCGTTCAGTGTAGTTGATTTGATGAAGTGAACTTCTGCGTGCTTGAGAGTCGTGGGCTGTGTTGCACAAATCAGAAACGACGACAGGATTGGAAATCAAGGCAAGGGACGAACTCGCGCGTCTCTTCATATGCCCAAGCAGAAGCACACCTAGTAAAAGACGTCGTGTACACCACCGGCGAGAGCGTGGACTCAAATATAGCATATTAACAGCGTATTTAACGTGCGTTA